GCATCGGAAACAGGATGTCGCTATTTCGATGCTAAAATAGCAACGAAATAGCGTCGCATATTTTAGCATTTAAATGGCGTCGCATGCTATTACGACNNAAATTTAGCGTCGAAATAGCATCGGAATATGTTTAGCGTCGAGAGATATGCGTCGACTTTTTTCCGACGCTATTTCGACGCTAAGTGATTTTAGCGTCGAAATAGCGTCGAATTTTGCCGATGCTAAATCCCTTTTTTCTTGTAGTGTCGCACTACAGAAAACGAGACGGATTGTATCATTTATTTTATTAGTTTAGATCATTTTTTGATTGACACACCTAAAATTACATCATTTTTATGAGTGACTTTAAAAATGGTGACTCTAATATTTTGTATCAATAAAAAAGACTGACGTAAATATTTTTATCATTTATTATAACTGATGTTAATATATGTTGCCTATGAAAAATGAAACTAAANNNTANNTCAGTTTGTATAAATGANGTTNAATATTTNTTTCGNTTATAACAATTGATNTTGAATATTTATATCATTTATTTAGTTGAATTTATAATTACATTAGTTATTAAAAAATTTCTTATATATATGTGATTAATTGGTAATAAATTTAATATTAATTTTTTATTAAACATAATTTAATCAAGAAAATAAGGTAAAAGAATAATCATGTTTTATTGGAATTAAGTCTCCTTGATTTTAGTTGCCCATAATCGGTATATCTATGATCTTATTTATAAAATGATTTTTTTTTTCACTCATTCCGCAATTTTCGATGTGGGACAATTTGGCTTTATTAGCTTGCATCAATAATTAATATGAAATAACATCAGTTTAATCTAACCGATGTAAAATGATTAAATAATCATAATTTTAACTTTATTAGTATCAATTTTTAGTGATGTAAAACTTGAATCATTTGTTTAGTGATGTTGACATAAATTAGCAAATGCGTCAATTATTAAATTGATACAAATCCATATATTTGTATCAATTTTGTTTAAATGATGTAAACTAATAAAAATTTGTATCAATATTATTAATTCAATGTTAAATTAATTAATAATAATATCAATTAACATAAGTGATGTTAGCAAACAAATTTTATATCATTTATTAATAAGTAATTCAAAATAGTATTGTTTAATTTTATGATACTATTTAATTGATGCAATACACATATTTTTTGTAGTGTCGACATTGTTCATATGAGGCTCAATACCTCTATGTGAAGAGGTGAAATAGTTTGTTTGTCTCCATGAATACCTTGAAGATCTGTAGTACCATCCTGTAGTTCAAGTACCTAGCCAACACCGCATGTAAGACCGCTTTCTTTCTACGATCCATCAATATAACATCGTAAGGTTGCGAGTGGGATAATGAGCCTCATTTCATAGTTAGATGACTTTTATAAAAGAGTT